GGGGTTTGGGAAATATTAAAATTTTTATATTCTGAAATTGAGTGATTAAAAGAAACTCTTAATAATATAGTTGTTTAATGCCTATTCACTTTAGTGTTTTGAAAGTATAAGATTAAAACCCTAAAACCTACCCTTGAGTGTTTCTTGTTTTTGCTTTGCCTCTTTATCAGACATTATAACTGTTAGACTCAAAAGACTTGCTTCATGCCCTGGGCTGGTTGTGACATCCGAGTCTCACTCTCCTTCTCTATGATGGAGATAGTAATGCTCACCTGAAAGATGATGATTGATTAGCAGCATCACATTTGTGAGGTGCTAAGCAGGGCAGGAGCCAATAAAATTTTAAAAAGTAAAAAACTAAGAAGCTATATTGAGCTATAATAAGAAGCTTTGTCCCCACAGGATCAAATTCAAATTCTTGATGCCATGTTTTAAATACTAGCTCAAAACCCTCTTAATTGAGTGTTTATTTTCTAGCCCAATAGATAATTGTTCTCTTCATTTTCCACAAAACAAACTTTTTGGCCCAAACTTTTAGTAAGAAAATAATTTTACAGGTGAAACATAAAACTTCTTGAAGTAGCCCTTCCTCTTGCCACATGCAGTCACAGTCTCTTCTGTTCACTGAGGAGGAAAATGCTTGTCCTGATGCATTACCAATAGCAAACCTGTGACCTGTGACCTGCTGCTTGAGGAACTCAACACCCCCATTTCTTGACATGCTACCCCTCCCTTGAGACCTATCCTACTGAAGGAGTCTTCCTTCATATTAGCATCTGGTGGCTGTCTTTAAACTTGTGTTTTTCTCTTAATTCCATTTATAACATTTACTGCAAATTGGCTTTTATGTTAATTATTGATCTCTAAGCGATCTCTGTGGCTACATAATTAGTACCATCAGCCTGTGAACTCTGTGGTGCCCTTACTTATTAACCTGTGCCTTTGGGGATGCTGAACCTATTGACGCTCCAGGGTATTTATTAGGAAATTGTATAATGTGTTGGACACTTCCTTACCTCTGTGCTGACATTTGAAAGCCGTGAAAGGGGTGTGTGTCTGTGCCTTAGAGAGCAGGTTGGGCTTTCCGTGACTGCAGCCTAGATTACATGTTTTCACCTGCTGGGCTGCAGTGGATTCTGTATGCATCTGAAAAAGATTGATAGTAGATAGGAATTGGGATTTCAGCTTCTAAATGGAGATTCTGTTTCCTGTTCCTGACATGATTTTGTCACATCTCAGAGGCTTTTTTTTTTTTTTTTTTCTGAGCAGACACCAGCATCCTCTCTGATTCCGCCCAGCCTCATCTCTTTTAAACTGTGAACTTTGCAGTGTGTAAAAAAGAATGACTTTATCCTTGAGGACCTGCACTGGATAGCACAGACACTTCTGGCTGTGTCTGGTGTGCATATGCTGGTCTGGGGAGGGTCTGCATGTCCAGTGGTTTGCTTATTTACATGGAGTCTTCATCTACCATGGAAAAATATTATGTAGGTGAGAATAGAATATTTATGTTAGTTATCTACCATTTCTCACATTTGGACTCAGTTTTGTGATCTTGACTAAGGATAAGATTTAGAGACTAGCAGGACCCATTTTATGTATACACAAATTATCTACCCAAATGTCAACCTCACTTAAAGGAACTGGTTTAATTAAGGGAAGTTTTTTCTTTTCCCTTTTTAACCTAATTTAATTAGCCTTTCTGACATAGTAGTAGATACCAGAGAACTTCCCATGCATCTATATAAACCAACAGATTTAACCTTAGTAATCTCTGTGTCGTAACAATACCTTGATGAAAATGCATGCCAGAAATATCTAGAAAATTATGAAAACGGGTTACTCAACATTTAAACAGGTTACTCAGCACATAGTTGAAAGATTTAAAAAACCACACACTAATAGCTACATAGGAAAATGTGTAAAATCTGAATTTTTATAGTGACTTTAAAGATTGATGGCCCTCAAGTTCATATAACCAATCTGTTCATCCAAATGCAGTTTTTTCTCTTTTGCATGTCAGACACTTACAAGGACTTTGAAATGAGTTTGGTTTAATTCAGCACTCAGAGAATTTGAGACAAACTTCTTTATTTAGGTTTTTTCCCACCCTTCCTGCCATTTATTAGGACTAAAATGTTTGTCAAAGGAAGCAGGTTTGTTTTAAAGGAGATTTTGAGAAAACTTTCCTTTAGTGTTTAAAGTGCTTGACGAGTCTTGTTCACATGGAAGGCAGTTTTATAAAATGAGGAGTCAAAATCAGGTAACATACTTACATTACTGGCAGAAAGCCATTCTGATAGTATTGATGGGAAGCACTAATTAATCACCCAGGGTCTCCTGTTTCACTAATCATGCTGCAGGAACCTTCCCTGCTGACCGAGGCTCAAGGACAGACAGTGGGCTTGCAGCCAACTTGTTTTTCAGAACTATTATGCTACTGCTATAAATTTGTATGAACCTAATACATTCTGTCAGTGGTTTACTTTCCCATGATGACCCTCTCTGGTTAAAAAGCTTTACACAAAATCTTACTGTGGGATTGAAAAGAAATTCCTTGCAAAAGTAAAAGGAAAGATTTAAATTTTTTTGTAATTTTTTTCCCTTCACAGCATAAAATTGAAATTCTGACAAAAAATCAGATAGATTAATTGAGTAAGACATATTTGACATTATAGTTTAGTTCTGTTATCTGAAAAATGCTTCAAGGCCTTTTTCTTTACATTTTTAATTGAAATAGTGTGTTCTTTAAGTGCCTCTTTAGACAAAACGTATACCTTAACTCAGTAATTCTCACATCCATCCTGTGTGAAAGCTATGACTGTTTCAATTTGCAAGTAAGAAATTGAGAGTCAGCTTGCTCGGGGTCACATGCAGGAAATGTTGGGGCCAGATTTGCACCAAGATTTGTCACTCAAGCCCTTGCCTATTTGGCTGAGTTGCTATTTATAATTCATACAATCCCTTTATTTTCTCCAATTTTATTTTGAGGAGATGTTCATTGGTCTTAATCTTTAATGATTTAATTCCTGTTGCCAAATGGATGCTTTCATTTCTCTGAGTTAAGTCATTTCAGAAGCATTCTGGTCTCTAATATGTTGTTTTCCATCTTCAAATCACTTTATACCATGCTGCTTTTATTCAGAGAACAAAAATGTTATGGACATCTTTGAACCAGAGGAAATAAATGCAGCTTATTCATATCCCTCATGCTGTTCTGCATCATGAGACTCTTTCAAGTAATTTTAATAGAAAAGGAACATTCCAGAGGGTGCACACGTGGATAGTTTTCAAGGCAGTCCTGTTTAAAACTCAGCCTTCCATCTTGAAATTGTGAGTGTATGACTTCAGCTTGTCCTAGATGCAGATTAATGTCCAAAAGTGTGTAATAAACTCATATAGAAAACATACAGAAGACTGATTTGTCACAGCCCAGTTCTCCTGCCTCATGAAAGAGAGCAGGTGGGTGCCTTATGTGGGCTCTGTGTTAAACCAGTATTTCAGTTCTTAGTATGCAATGCTGATGTTCTTGGCAGAAAGGAATCCATTCCTTTTTATAGTGGCATGAAAAGTTGGAATGAGGAAAAACTGAGCTGAACATACAGAATAAATAACTCAGCGGGGCCGTCAGGCTGCCCTTTTGTTTTCAGACACCCTTGTCCTCCTTTGTGAGTCACTGAGCCAGTAGGAGCGATCAAAGATGCCTCAGTGTATGGAGCATTTTATGTGGAGGTTATTTGTCATCCACAACAAAGGACTAATTGCTTCTGGACCTTCTTTCACATGATAATCAATGAATTTAGATCCACTCTGTGTGTTTCATGTGTCCTGCAACTCGAGGCTTTTTAGATTTCGATGGAATATAAAGGATCAGAGAGATGATATCAATCCAGTAGAAATATTTATTAAGGGAACTTTAACTATGAATATGGAGCTGTAAAGAAAGAGCCTGAAATGAAGGCAGCTGCCAGCATTTCTTTTGTGATTGTTTGATTTGATCGGAACAGTGTCTTGTGGTGGCTGTTAAGAATGCCACTTGGCATTTCCGGGATGCAGCACATTTTCCTTCAAAATTTGGCATTTCAAAAGTCCCAATGCGGAGAATTGCTGATTGTATTTTCGTATGACCTTGAAGTTCTCAAAGAGGATTTCTTGGATGTCTTGTTACTAATGCTATCAAAAAGTGCTCATTGTAAAGTAGTATTCTGAATTGCAACTAGAAGTCAGTGTACTCTGGATCTGAATGTGGGGGTTATATATGCACAGGCTGTAGAAACACATGCATTAACCATTCAGCTCATTCTGTACAGTGTCTGAAGGTTGGAGGTCATGTTCTTTTGTTATTTTTTTAACAGTTGTTTCTAAGCAAGAAAAATGTACTAAAATTTACCTGAAAATGCAGTTATTTCTTGGGAATTTTTCATATTTACAGTTAAATGAAAATCTTTTAAGAACTACACATGCAGTCATACATACGTAACCTATACCACACATGTCTATTTAAAAATAACTTTTCCTTCTCTATAAATGCTTACGTGTGAGAGGGGTTAGGGTTGTAGTTCAGGGGTAAAGTGCCTAGTATACATAAGGACTCAAGCGTGATCCCAGCACTGGAAAAAGAAAAGAAGAACAAGAAAATAGATTTCATTAGCAAAATAAGTTGAAAGCAAACACAAACAAAACAACTAAAAAGATATATAGGCAAAGAGAGCATTTACATTAGTTTTTTAAGAAAAATACTACAGGGGGCTGGGGATTTAGCTCAGCGGCATAAGCGCCTGCCTTGCAAGCAGGCAGTTGTGAGTTCGATCCCCGGTACCGGTAAAAAGGAAAAAGACAAAAAAGAAAAAGAAAAATACTACAAATAGCTATCAATTAAAAATATAGCTCTCAGTGTCTCCTCAGCTCTCAGTGAACTGACTCAGGGTAGAGCAAACCAGAGTAAGCCATTGTAAGAACCGGTGTCGCAGGGGAGAAGACCCCAAGGACTCAGCTCGTAGTGAGGAGTAAAAAGTTTATTTCCATGCGCATGGGGTCCCCCAGGCAAACAAGTGCGGAGGGCCTCGAGGGGAATTTGTGTAGGGTTTTTAAGGGTACAAGCGGGAGGCAAGCAAGTTTACAGAAGCAAATCGCATTGGTTAATTTTGAGCAGCATAGGATTTGGCAGAAATTGATTGGAGGGGTTTGGGGTTGAGTAACCATGGAGACTGGGGGTCCTAGCCCAGTCACTATGTGCCCAGAACAGAACAGTTACTTGTCTTACTTATCTCGTTGAGACAGAACGACCTTGCAGGTGCATTCTTTCTTTTTTTTTTTTTTTCTCTGCTCTGATAGCTCTGGGGAGTTAGGCATTTCTTTCTGCTCTGCTCTGATAGCTCTGGGGAGCTAGGGAGTTAACCCTTTTATTTCCCCGCTCTGGGGAGTTAGGGAGTTAACCCTTTTATTCCCGGCTCTGGGGAGTTAGGGAGTGAAACATTCTTTGCTGCTTTTTATAACTCGGGGAGGGGGTTATAGCAGGGGGGTCAACTCTCACATTCCCCCCTTTTTTTTTTTCGATGACTTTTAATCTTAAAGGTCCTGTATTGGTAAGGGGTCATACTGTTGACGTAGCACCATAACCTTTACTTGAGAGATCTGAGCCCTCACAAACTGGGTTACTCGGTTAATGAGGTAAGGGGCTATAGCCATGACTATAATGAATCCAGCCAGGGGTCCCAGTAAAGGGAGAATATAGGGCAGGATTGATTTCCAGAAGGAGAACATTTTGGCTTTACTTGAAGGGGGCTCTCGAGATTTAATTTTTTTTTCTTAGCTTTTTTATTGCATCTGTTTATAACCTTGTATGTGTCTTTAAAATCACAAGCTTTTAAGAACTTTGACATAGTTTATCAACTTGTTTATAACATAAGGCCCAGTAGGAGGATTAACAAAGGTCTTGTAGCTGTCATTAAAGCTGTTAACCAAAAGGAGAAAGAAAACCAACATTTAAATTTACTCTGTTTTACCATATAAGTAACAATTTTTAAGTCAGACAGAGGCCTCCTTGGGGTCTCTATAAAGGAGGAGAACACAAAATTATCAGTTATATTAGACAATCTTAAGCTTTAAAGTGTCCTTGGAAGAAATGACAGTTTACTTATTTGTAGGCTGACGGTCTTTTGAAGTTGGGACTTGTCTGCATTGGGAACGTTGAATCTAGGCAGGCTTTTAGCTGTTTTGACAATCTATTGCGGCTTAAGAGATTTACGGTGAGGTCGCTCTCAAGAGATTTACGGTGAGGTCGCTTGTCCAGGTGTCTAGGCTCTTTAGCTGTAGTGGGCAGCAGCAAAGTAACCAGTGGATGGAAGTCACAGCTAGCTGAAAAGTCTGGGGAGACTTAATAAGATCTTGATTAGTTAAATTAGCTAATTTTTAGAAACCTCACATAAAACTTCAAAAGAGGAAATATCTGCAACATAGGGGGTGTATCACGCATGTAAAGGGGCAGAAGGAAAAGAGACTCACCCAGTTTTCGCCAGTTTTTAAGGCCATTAGTAATTATAGTCTTTAAAATCTAACTTATCTTTTTACCTTTTTTGAACTCTGAGGCTGGTAAGCCCAATCGAGTTTTTTAATTGATCTGTAAAGCTTAGGTTAATTTGAGTTACTAGGCTATAAAAGCCAGGCCATTGTTGGACCCCACGGATAAAAAGGGAGACCAAATCAGAGAAACTGCTATCAGAGCTGACTCAGACTAAGTAGAAAACACTTATATTTTTGAAGTTTAGGCTTTTTATTTTTGTAAAATCTATTTTTTAGTGTTTTTAGGCATAGTCCCACGATAACCAGTGGTTTTTATTTGTTGCAGTACTTTTAGATTTACCAATTGGCACTGAGGGCATCTGAAGCTCACAGACTGGGCTAGCTTGATATTAGCCCCCGGAATCTCTTGGAAGTTGAGCTGTCAGATGTTGGTCTTTTTAAGTGCAAATGGGCTCTTGAGAGACATAACTGTTTTCATCAGAGAAGTAGGATGGAACTCTAGACAGTAGCTTATCAACTACATAAGGTCGATGTTTCGTGAGGTGATCAATGAGGCAACGAGGGGTCATCCTCAGGCAGCAAAGTAGCCGAGTTTGAAGCTGTTGTTTCTAGAAATAGTGCCTGATAATGCATGGCTCAGGAATTAGACATCTATCAGTCTGGTGGGGCCTTGATGAGAGTCTCCAGTGAATAGGAGGAAACAATTAAGAGTTTGTGTCCAAAAGTCAATTTTTAAGCCTCCTTTATGAGGGGGCCATTGAAGAAATCACCGCAGACAGGGTGGCCATCTGGTTGCCACAGAACCAAGTCTCTTGGAAAGGTAGACAACAGGCCTCTGCCAGGGTCCCAAACTTTGGATCAGTCCTGTGGCTCTTAGAAATTTTGTACTTGTCTTTTAGTCACAGGGACTGGAATCCGTTAGATGGCTCACAACAACCAGTGTAGTCTTTTTTGTGTAGACTGGTTTTGATAAGGTCGGGGGGACTCGCATCAGAGCAGTTACTTACTTTTTTTTTTTTGGCTGGCCTCTCTGATGTGATTGTTACTCTTTTAGCGGCCTGATCTGCCAAATTGTTTCCTCAGGTGAATAGCAGCAATCTGCTGACAGCCAGACTGCTGCCAGCAAATTTAGGATTTGTGGAGCCCTCTTTTTTTTTTTTAATCTTAGCTCTGGCCAAGGTTAAGAGACCTCACTCTTAATAGATGGCTCTATGTATATGTATAGTAGCAAAAGCATATGTACTATCAGTATAGATGTTTACCCTCTTTTTTGTGGCTAGTTTTAGTACATCAGTCAAAGCAATGAGCTCTGCCTTTTGGGCAGAGGTGCTAGGCTCTAACCCTTTAACCCAGAGTACCTCCTTTTTGGTGGTCACTGTTGTCCCGGCCACTCATCTGTCTCTGCCGTTCTGGATGAAGCTGCTTCCATCGAACAGTTGTCGGCATTTTCCAAAAGCTGGTCAGTAAGATCAGCCTGTAGGTTCCGCTGCAGTTTGAGGATGTCAGCACACTCATGGAGAGGTGTCCTTTGTTCCTCCAGGTCATCATCAGGCATAAGGGTGGCTGGGTTTAAAGCTGAAGAAGTCTTGAATATCATTGACTCTGGGTCTAGAAGCAGGGCTTGACAGTAGAATTCTGGCATTGGAGAGCCTTTTTTTAGGAGGGGTTTTGATAAGAGTCTCTAAACTGTGAGAGGTTACCACAGAAATTACTTGCCCAAAGCGTGTTTTTTTTGTTTCCTTAAGTAACATTGTCATAGTAGCTAGTATTTTAAGGCAGGGGGCCATACTCCTGTTATTGGATTAAGTCTTTTGGAGAGGTAGGCTATAGGCCTCTTTTAAGGGCCAATGTCCTGAGTTAGGACTCCTTTGGCAATGTCCCTGAGTTTATCTATGAACAAGATGAAAGGCTTTGTAACGTCAGGGAGTCCCAGGGCTGGGGCCTCTGTCAAGGCCCGCTTGAGCTGTTGGAAGGCCTGTTTACATTTATCAGTCCATTTCAGCGAATTTTGAGTTTCTCCCTTATGGGAGTCATAGAGGCAAGCTTTTTAGTAAAATTTAGCCTACAGTATCCAATTGCCCCCAGAAACTCTCGTCTGTTTTTTAAAAGTTTTTTCTCATAGAGCAATTTTAACATCTTGGCTATCTTTTTGTAAATTTTTTAGTTTTTAAAGACCTTTTTGTGCTATCTTTATTAACTGGCTGAGGGGCATTTTTTTAAACCTCTTAAACCTTTGTAATTTTTGTCTAACATGTGGGGCCGACTGAGTTACAAAGAGAACAACTGGCGATACTGGGAAACCTCCTTACCTCTGGATGTCCAGTCAGGGTGGCACAAAAGGAGAACATGGTTTTGGCATTCCGGATCAGAGAGCCGGCTTTATCTGGATGGCACACTGTTTTTTGTCCAAGGGTGTCACGTGGCAGGCCATCATTTTACTAAAATTATATTCTTAACAAAAAGGGCTTTTTTATAGGTAACAAAATTGTGCTGCATAATCTCCCAGATGTTCACAGTACATGTAAGAACTTGTATCTTATTTGTAGTATCACCTATAATCTCATTTTAATGGAAACATTTTGTAGCAAAGTACAATCTTATGTATACTTTTATCAAAACTGATCTAATACTGTCAAATTCTGAACACATTTACTTTTTGTCAAACCTGTTATTTGTAGTACTATAAACCAAGACAAATAAAATTCACATCCTCTTGAGCCTTTTATAACTTACAATAATACCTCTCAAACTAAGCTTTAATCTTTTTTTACATTCTGGCATAGCCAGACACCTTTACTTGAAGACCACTCTCTTTGTCCCTCTTTTTACTATTACCAGTCAATTACCTTTTTTCTCACTTCTCAGACAACATCAAAACTCTCAACAAAACCCTTGAAGTCACCTTTTAGTAGTCTAAAACATACTTATTTTATGTCTTTTTACCACATAAAAATGCTGTATTTTAAAAACAAAACTGTAACCTTTTAACTGGCTCAAATATAGTATGACCTGGTTTTTACTTGGTAAAGTTGATATGATTCTTAATAACCATAGATATACATATATATGTGCACATGTTTACATTTTTATCAGAGAGGAAAAAAATACTCCTTTTAAAAGGTATGTTGAGGTTGCAAGCAATCAATTGAAGTCTTACATATTAAACAAGATGCCACAACATTAAAGACACAAACAAAGGGAGCTTCTTGCATAGTTTGGTCAGCTAAAAGAAATAATTTTTCTTATCATGAACCTTGAATCTAATAAGCCATATGGATCCTGCAACAGAAATGGGCAACAAGCCCCTAAGTTAGTAACAAGTTTAAACAGGCAACCAAGGAGAGGGCGGAGGAAGGAAGGGTTTTACCCACGGTGGGGGCTCTTTCCTGAGGTCCTGCCATACCAAGATGTAGGCATGCTGGTCCGGGTGGCCCTCTTCGTCCGGGGCGGAAGATGATGTTTTTAATTGCTAAGATGAGGGGAAGGTGGAAAGTCCCCTCTGGTGGCCAACCCACGGAGAATGTGGGCCACTCAGACGAGCAGAAAGTCTGTCATTTACTTTTTTAACCTGTAAGGAGAGATTGTGAGCCCTCTCTCAAACCTCTGACCAATGGTCGAGGGTGAGGGACAATGGGGACGATGTCGTTTGTCCCATGGTGTTCTGAAGACAAAGAGTGGTTAGCGTACGCGCGACACAACAAATAACCGATCACAACAGTCACAACACACAGGACAAACAGGCCGGCCACCTCACTCTCACGCATGAGTTTCACACCAAATGAGTCACCTTAGGGGGTGCCTCCAGATTGGCCCGGACGGACCACAGATTGGGAATGAAATTCCCCAGATTGGCCCAGACGGACCACAGATTGGGAATGAAATTCCCCAGATTGGCCCAGAGGACCACAGATTGGGAATGAAATTCCCCAGATTGGCCCAGAAGGACCACAGATTGGGAATGAAATTCCCCAGATTGGCCCAGAAGGACCACAGATTGGGAATGAAATTCCCCAGATTGGCCCAGAAGGACCACAGATTGGGAATGAAATTCCCCAGACTGGCCCAGAAGGACCACAGATTGGGAATGAAATTCCCCAGACCGATAGGAAAATCCTATCGCAGACGGTGAGTCACGGAAAACCGTGTGGGGCGTCCCCCGGTCACCAGAGAACAGATAACAGAAATTGCCCCTAGATTGGAGCCGCTCGGCTTGGGATGTAAAGTACTGGTAGATCGATCTCAAAATGAAAGTAAACAAAAGTGACCGGTCGTACTCACCCGCGGTGTAAGGCGGAGCCGTTGAGGTCGTCTCCCGTGAGACTACTATCTCGCTAGGGCCTCCATATGTAAGAACCGGTGTCGCAGGGGAGAAGACCCCAAGGACTCAGCTCGTAGTGAGGAGTAAAAAGTTTATTTCCATGCGCATGGGGTCCCCCAGGCAAACAAGTGCGGAGGGCCTCGAGGGGAATTTGTGTAGGGTTTTTAAGGGTACAAGCGGGAGGCAAGCAAGTTTACAGAAGCAAATCGCATTGGTTAATTTTGAGCAGCATAGGATTTGGCAGAAATTGATTGGAGGGGTTTGGGGTTGAGTAACCATGGAGACTGGGGGTCCTAGCCCAGTCACTATGTGCCCAGAACAGAACAGTTACTTGTCTTACTTATCTCGTTGAGACAGAACGACCTTGCAGGTGCATTCTTTCTTTTTTTTTTTTCTCTGCTCTGATAGCTCTGGGGAGTTAGGCATTTCTTTCTGCTCTGCTCTGATAGCTCTGGGGAGCTAGGGAGTTAACCCTTTTATTTCCCCGCTCTGGGGAGTTAGGGAGTTAACCCTTTTATTCCCGGCTCTGGGGAGTTAGGGAGTGAAACATTCTTTGCTGCTTTTTATAACTCGGGGAGGGGGTTATAGCAGGGGGGTCAACTCTCACACCATGAGTACAGGAAACAGTTCATTGGGTAAGAGGAAGACAGCCTGCCTTCAAAACGAGATCACAAAGAGTCAAGAAGGATCCATAAAGGATCTGAGATGTTGCCCTTCTGCCAGTTAGCAGGTTACTCCATGTTATAGTATTATGAATGCTATGGTGGTTTAACTGATAGTCAACACCCAACTGAACTAAATCAGCGTGGTTCTGGACATTGAAGGCTCACCTGAAGGTTGTTGCCAACAGCATGAAAGAACTGGAGGGGAAGAGGGTGTGCTGTTGATTCTCTTAGGGAAGCTTGTCTTGCTGGGTTTCCGGATACGAACTCAGCTGTTCTCGTTGTCAGAGGAGCTTGAGTCCTCTGTAAATTATATGTCCTGTATTAAATCTATTCACTTGTAAACCCTGATTATAACAGATGCTAGCAGATGACATTAAACTCTTAGTGCAGAGACACAGGACTTTCTTAATCACCAAATGTGAGAAGCCAGAGTGAGTATTTTTGGCACTTTCATCTACCCTAATTCTAACAGGGTGACGCAGAGAGGACCTGATGACTCCTCTGTGTGCAGCAAGCTGTGTTAAAGGAGAGGAACCCTGGCTTAGGGAACATGACTTTTGTAATAGGCAGTAAGCCTGCCTTCTCCTTTGCTGCACCTTCAGATCTTTCAGGGCTGTCCTCCGTATAGATGTGTGGAAAGAATCCATAGCAAAGGACTCATTGTAATTCCAACATGTGTCTCATTGCTAAGTACAGATGTGTGAGAGAATTCTCTCCCAACTTCTGGAAACAGACCCACGATAAACACCAATTGTGTGAATGACTGATCCATACTGATGTTTTTTAGGATAATGTATGTCCCAGGTGACATAGTCACTAACTGTAGCATATATCTCTGTTCCTTTAACAGATGGATAAAATGTAATATTTCTGTTCTATCACGTATTATCATGGTTTCCATCTAAAATGTTCTTCAGATATCCCATGTGTTCAGGGGTGAGGTATGGTCAGAAGAGATGAGTCACTGGAGTATAACCTGGAACGGTATATTCCTGTCCCCAGCTCCTCCTCCCTTTCTTTGCTTCCTAGCTGCCATGGTGTGTGCAGCTCTCCTCTGCTAAGTCCTTTTACCTTGCAAGGCCATTTCTGCCATAGACTGAGCCCAGTGAAACAGGCAAGATAAACCTTCCCTCCATTAAGTGGTGAGTGTTGGGTGTTGTGTCACAGTGATGGGCAAGATGACTAATACTTGCGCAGTGTGTGTAGCATATTTTTTCAAAATGTCTTTCCATGTGTTTGATGTGCTGTCATTGCCCATCTGCGTCTGAACGGACTTAGTGACTTGACCACACCACCACTTAATGTTCAACTTGTTTTCTGACACAGTCTGCTGATCTTTGAAACACATTTGTAACTCCTTCCCTTTGTCACACACATAAGGTGAAGAATATTGTCAGCTTTTAAGAGAGGTGACCCGGATCCAGTTCTGGATCTCCTCTTTGGTGGTGGTATCTCCCTCCACTAATCTTAGGTCTTGCCCAGCCACACCAAAAGGAGGGACTGGCTGATGCCACCAGAGTTAGGGACTAATCCTAATTATCTTGTCAGTGTGACATCTGTGTGGTGGTAACATGAAATCTAAAACTGATCCTTTCAATCTCCAGCACCACAAAACGAAAAATGAATAAAGCTAGTTTTCCCCCTAAAATAGCTCTATTTCCAGTATTCTGACTGTGCATGTGACTGAAGGATGTAGCTTACTGGTAATATACATGCATTGCATGAGTGAAGCCATGGGTTCCTTCTGTAGAAGCACACAAAAATGTCTGACAAACTTCAGGAATTTTCTTACATTTTTTTCTTCTTTATCATCCACAAGATTTTCCTTCAGCATAATATTACTTAGGATCCAGGATGAGCTGTGAATGACCTCAACAGAAAAATCCCTGCTTCTGTGGAGCTCATGTTTTGGAGAAATTCAAACCCCTATTTGTATAGATTTGGAAATTGAGGAATAGTGAGATCAGATAACTTGAAGCTCACCTACTTGGGATTCCATTCCAGGCATGCTGGAAGGACCCATGGTCATAAGCTTATGTCTTTCTGCTTCTTGAAATAGGTCTCTTGAAATCTCCTCCAGTCTGTCTTCCTGCTCTTCCCTGTTCATCTGGGGCGTTCTCCCCAGGATTGCTGCAGCAGCCTCCCAGCCTGTCTCACTCCTAATGCTAGAGCCCCTTTGGTTCATTCTCTAGACTACTTGAACAAGTCTTTTAAAATACAGATCTCATCTCTGTCATTGTTTTTGCTTTAAATCCTCACTTGGTGTCCCAAGACTTGGTGACCTTTTGGCATCCACAGTACAGCGTGCTGATCCAGCCCCTCCTTTGCCAGCTGGCCCAGAGGTAAGGTGTATTAATAGGACACAGCTGGCTAGGCCCAAGGCCTAGGGCTGAGAATTTGCATTTCTAACAAGGTTCCTAGTGTTTCGTGGGAGGAACCACTTGTGAGAATCCTGCATGCCAGGAGCCTCCAGGAGCGCCTACAGATTCCAGAAGGGACGTGCTGCTTCAGGCTTTGATCCCCTGGCATAAGAATGTCATCTTCTTGCTTTCTCTTTATGATGTAATGCAAGTGTTGCATCTTAGGACACCAACCCTGACCGACCCCACCCACCATCCCAGTGATCTCACTGTCTTTGTGTTTCTATAACAGCTCTTCTGTGTCACTGCAAAGACTCATTCTCTGCACTTGAGCTGTGGTTTATTTATGTCCCAACCGCCTCCCCTCCATTGTAAGCTTTTTTAGAGATTGTTGTCTTACCTTTCCATCCCTGGCACCGACACAATGCCTGAAACGCATTGAAGAAACCCACTAAATAAGTTGAATGATATAATCCTACTTTAAAAAGAGTAATCATATTTTAATTTTTGTTCATATTAACTCAAATCATCCCTAAGATGTTTTTCTAACATCAAGATATTTCAACGCAACACCTGTACATCTGAAAATATTAAACTTTCAAAGCTGCCTTTCATGACTGCTGTACCTCTCAGCTGTTTAGCACAAACAACAGGAGCTCATTCCTTGATGTTTGTGGAAGGATAACTTCTCCTGCCTGTAATCTGAAATACTCAAGTTACCCTCAGTCCTTTGCACTACATGTCTCTGCGTGTTTTCATCCTTGGCTTTATCTAATCAGAGTTACATCTGATCAGATGGAATGCCCAGGCAGGATAAGCCTGCTTTTACTCAGATAAGCAACGATAAGTGGATGTAAATGTGAACCATCCATGTTTCCATCCCAAATGGATAGCTAATCCTTCACATTTCTTCTTTTACGTGCCTGTGTGGACTGGGTAATTTCCAAGAATATAAGCTTTATTGTTTGCCTGGCCTTTGTTTTTCTCTCATCTCAGATGCTAGTTCTTGCCAAAATATCAAGCTCCAAACTCTAAGAAAGGAATTTTCAGATAAGACTGTCCCTGGGCAATAGGAATTTCCCCAAAGGGTACCCTGTTCTTCTCCTGGTGCAGTGCAAATCCAAAAGCAAAGAGCTTTTACCTCCTATCTGAGGAAAATGGAAGCTTGCACACAGCTCCTCTGTGCTTAGCACCTTCAAAAAAGCCTTTTCCCCTATTCTTTCCTGTTATAACCATTGCTTCAGGACTTGAGTTATAGCACTCTGCTTCTGTAACTTGACAAGTAAGCAGGGACAGTTTGAAATTTTCTACAGGTGGACATGTGGCTGAATTATATATTTCCTTACAAACCAGGTAGCAACACCTGGTCCAGCAGTTCAGAATAATTTGCATTTCTGCTCGGTTGCTTGGAAAAGAACAACTTCTGCCAGAAGATGATTATTTCATGAGCATCATGATTTTTAGACCCGGTTTATGTTTTGTAATTCATTGTGAGCTTTCACAGAAGAAAAGCATGACAGAAATTAATCTGGTGTCTTATTATGTCTCAGTACTCCTCTGATTGCAAGTAACAGGAGCCTTCCAAAGAAGTCTGAGCTGAGATGAGATGGGGTGGGGCTTACTTGTAATAGGAATTAGGGATATTGTGTGGAACCCAGAATCACAAAAGAGCCAGAAGCAGTCAGGAACACAGGGTACTATTGGTCTTTCCTTTCCACATACCTGTGCTCTCTCTATAGCACATAGTAGAGAATCACCCAGTATCTTCTGGTGAAAGCCACCAGAAATAATTGTGTTCAGTACCAGATTCTTGGGAAAGAGAGACCATGGTTGTTACAGTTTGTGTCAATGTCTCTGCAAAGTCTCATGCAGTCTCATGCACTGGCCAGGAGAACTAGTCACGCTTCAGAGAAATTGTAGCCAATGTGGGAAGTGCCTCGGAGCCCACTACCTGCTTGTCCAGAAGAACTCAGGAAAATGTCAAGATGAAGAAGCAAAAGGCAGACTCTGGTCTCCAACCCATGCAGAGCAAGTCCAGGAGATGTAAACATGAAAGAGATTGAGAGTCACACACTTGAAGTTTCTGAAGTGTTGGCAACTGAAGTAAACAAACAACTGCATGAGGTATAAAAGAAATTAGAACAGAAATACTGTCTCAGGTAAAAGAAGAAATGAAAAACATAATAAAAGAGTTGCTCAGATTCTCTAAAGAAGACACAGATAAAAATATAGAGGAACATAGAAAAATGAGGGAAACCTTGAATTAACAATATAGAAAAGAACTGGAAGGCATGAAACAGATTCAGAGAGATATCCAGGAAATTAAAAACTCCATTGAAAGCTGGCAAAACTGCTTGAAAGAAATTGAAGATAGACTTTTAGATCTTGAAGACAGATTTGCAGCTAGCAATCACAAAAGGAACCAGAAAGTAACAATTCAGTGGCTGCAAGACAACACAAAGAAAAATAATTTAAGAATAATAGATGTCAGCAAAAAAGCAGGGTCAACACAAATGACATAAAAAATATGTTTACAGAAGTAAGCAGAAAACTTCCTAAGCATGGGAAAAGGATGTG